CACACTGCCAGCCAGACCACATGAACCAGACAGCGAGAGGCGGAGGCACACAGGTATTCTTACATGGGGATAACGTTTCTGTTTCATTTACATTCTGTTAGCATGCAGTAAGCATGCAGCTATTATCCAACATCTACTTGAAAAAACTCTCACCCATATAGAAAATTCCCTACAGTGAACACTTTCCCCCCACAAAGTAACTGGCTTTCAGCAGTAACTTAACCTAAAATATGTACCACCAAGACCACAAGTCATTTCCATTTGTAAATAAAGTTTATGTGTAGGATCACATTTTCTTTTGCATCTCAAGACTGCTGTTGGGGTATAAGAGGAGAAGCTTAAAGTCACGTGATAAAAATTGGAGAGATTAATTTGTAACTGAAGGAGGCAAAGCCTCCAGAAGCCAAATGGAACCACCAGGGAGCCTCCAGGGCTGGCAGAGAACACTCGAGAGAGGAGGCATCAGCCTGCTGTGAATAAGCACCGTGAGGAGGAGCTGGAAGCACAGCAGAGAGAGCAAAGTCATCCAGCCTCCGGCTGCTTCTGCACCCCCCTCCTTTCTTATTTAATAGTTTTGGTGGTGGCGGTGCAGGGGGAAGCCCAAGTACCACCACAAAGAAAGCCCTATACATGAAGATGCTCACATAAAGCCCACAATCTCTTTACAGCCATCACGTCCTTGCCCCTTGCAGCCCTAGTGAGAAGCCTAGTGATGCCAGGGACTTGGGAGGCTCACTCCATCCAGGGGAATGAAGCACACCTGGCCACAGGCACCGGGATCCAGAGGGAACTCAGAGTTGGTCCCTGCTCTGGGGGCAGGGGCATGGTGTGGTGGTCGTGGTCCAGTGTGGGAGTAGGCAAATCCACCCAGTGGAATCAGTGATCAGAGAGGCGTAAGGAGAGGGGCTCCACGTGAGCCCAGGGAGCAGCAGCCAGGTAGTCTGGGGAGGCTTCTAGGAGGAGTTGCCACCTCTCTGGGGTCTTCACGTGAAACTAAAGGAGGTGAAAGAGGGCTCCCAAAGACTGAGACCCAAAGATACTGTCCCCTGTCACAGTCCACCTATCTGGGTGACTGCTCACCTTCTTCAGTATAGCCTTAAATTAAGGAAATTCAGAATTTCAGTAAGGTACTGAAATAAATGAAGGTCTCCTTGAGACATAAAGGAGATCAAAGGAGGTTGAATCGATGTTTAAAGAACTGAAGCCTCTACGTAGAGCAACTTCCAATAAGGAAATAAAATAATTAGACTCAGCTCTTTCACTAAACTTAACAGACAGAAGACACAGTTTTCCAGGCCCCCTGATTATTATACACGTGACCATGAGCAAAATACCCCTCCGGGCCTCAGTTTCTCCTTCTATAAAATGAAGAGGATGACCACACTGGCCTAAAAGGTTGTTATAATGACAGCACTTGTATCTAATTCAATCCTCCAAAAAATCTTGTCAAATAGATTCAACCACCTCCATTTACACAGGAAACTTTGCTCACAGAGGTGACATGACCTGTCCAACATCAGAGACAGCAAGCCTCGCTCAACATCTGCCTGATTCTAAAGACTGTGCTTTAAGCACCATGCTGAACTACTGTAAGGACAGACTAGTGAGTGACAAAAAAGGAAAGACACAGTGTCTGACACTTCACTGGTACTCCATAAAATCAGTTTAATTTTGGGCCTATTTTAGCCCTGACAATGGGAAATTCCTGAGTTTCCCTCTTCAAGCTGTGGAAAGAATAAGTTGGTTCATACCACATCTTTCTTCAAAGGACCTGGATGAGCTACTCACATATGATCAGTGGGTAAGAGAAAAGGTCACTGGCAACATCTGGCAGAAAAGGCAATTGAGGCTCAGTTTGGGAGGATTTATATAGATTCTTGGACAAGAATGGAAGTCTTCTAACGTTACATCCTCTCCATAATGTACTCGTGCTTCTTTCTGGTCTGATTCCAGCTTCTAGCAGACAGTTGGCTGAAGGCTGGAGTAGATTGTCAGACAAGAATCCAAACTGGAAAGCTCAAGGACTTTGGCTTGCCATTTTCTTATTTAGGCCAAGATCCAAGCACAAATGTTAGCTCTCAGTCCCTAGGCAGAAACTCTTGTCGTATCAGCTTCATTTAAAAGCTTCTCTCTCATAGCGCATAAAGACAATTGTCATCATCATTCTTAAAAGTGAAAATTTAGGTTGGTTTAACAACTATCTCAGGGCAGGCTTTGGAACCAGCCAACCTAGAACTCTGTTCCTATCATTTACTGGCCAACTAACTTTGGGTAAATCACAACCTCTCTCCACAATTAGAATAATATCTTGCAGAGTGGTTGTGAAAATTACGAGAGAGCAGTTGCAAAATGTCTGGCACATGCCTTACAATAGAAAGCCTGAATAAATAATTTAAAAAACATCTTTTAATGTGATTGATATAAAAAGTTATACCCTGTCCCTCCTTGGAAGCAAACGGACAGGCTTATATCCACCCTATGGCAGTATTCTCAGTCAAATGGTTTTACTTATAAGCTACATATCCCTTCTGGGACACCAAAGCACATTTGCTGGAAAGAACCCTGCTTCTAAGTTCTCTGGTCCTATGACACAGACTTACAGACTTGCTCTGCCTCTGCTCTCTTTTCCCTCTCCTTTCTGCATCACCCCCTCTCCCATTACACACCTCCTTGAGGGCCCTGACAGTGAGATGATTCCAGACCTCACACCCGTGCCCCATCTGATCGATCAGCCCTAGAATGCTGCTTTTTCATTATTTATTAATTACAGTTAACACTTATTTCAGTGTTTATTATGTGCCAAGCACTGCTATAAGAGCTTTATGATTATTAAAACTCATTGAATCCACCTATCAACCTTATAAGCACAGATAAACTACCCAAGAGAGGTTAAGTAAATTGTCCAAGGTCACACAGCCACTAAGTGGCAGGGCCAGAATGTGAACTGAGGCTGTCTGGCTTGGCAGCGTCCTGTCTTACACTGCATAAGAAATGCTCACAGTCTACTTCACTTCCAAAATGGCTTTAAGGATAGCAAGCCTGCTCTGATCAAACACACTAACAGAAGGGAAAAAACTCTATTTTTGAAAGATTTTTCTTTGTCTCAGTCCAACTTAATAGGTAGCTACCGATGAACAAATTCAGTTCTTGATTGGAATTTCTATTTAAGAATTTTTTAAAGCCTTTTTTATAAAAAGAGTTATTTTTATAATTTACTTCCATTTTACAAAAGACTAGTTATAACAGTCCCTTGATTCCAAACCATTGACTGCCTTGCGCCATTTGTAAATGCTGGTAAAGGCTTCTTTCACTAACTCAGTGATTCTGACTCCGAGGGCAAGCACTGGAAGCATCTTGCAAATCTTTTAAGATGGGGATGCTGAGGCTCATCGATGTCACACAACTTAACTAAGATTCTGCTCGTGCCTAGAAGTGGAATGAGAGCAAAAGTCCAGATTTCAAAGCTTTATCCACCAAACCTCACAGCTTCTCTTTCCTAATGTAAGACAGTCGGACCTTATCTTTCTGGAAAAAACCCAAAACCTAATTTGAAATCACAGTATACTGTGGAATTCTATGCAGCAGTAAAAAAGAAAAAGGTGAATTTATATGTGGAATAATATGTGGATTAATGTGGAATACTCTCTATGATATAGTGTTAAAATTATAAAAGAAAAATGTAGAACACTGATGATAGTCTGCTATCATTCGTTTTTAAAAAGGGGGGAATACAAATGCGTGTGTATATATATGAGTGTATATATACGTATATGTGTGGGTATATTCACATACTATACTGAAAATGCGTGCATACGAACAGATGATACCTGGAAAGATGCCGAGGAAACAGAGAACAGCTGTTGTCTCTGGGAATTATGGGAGAGGAGAGGCTAAGTTTTCAGTCTAAACGCTTTGTTACCTGAACATTTTTTAACATGCGTGTTACATATCCAAAATATTTACCAAGACCCTAATAAATAACATTTTATCTTATTTGTATAATAAGTCAATATTTTGAAACAGAACCCACTACAGAGTTCCTACCTGCAGGACATGACCTATAGTGGGTGATGAGTGAATATCTGCTGAATTAACAAAGGGCAACCTGGTATGGGTCAGGGACACCCCCACAGATGTGACAATCTAGTACAGGAGATAGACATCAAACAATCATTGAGAAAAAGAAATTATTATAAACAGAAACATACACGATGAAGAAAAAGTAGTATGCTCTATGATGGAATATAACGGGTGACCCCAGGGAAGGATAGATCAGTTTAGGCAATGGGGGCCAGGGAGAGCACAGGTGGCCTCTTTTTAGACATGACATTTAAACTAAGAAGGATGAAAGAGTTAACTAGAGTGGGGGAAAGAGTGTTCCATGCAGAAGAAACAGCCTGTGTGAAAGCCCTGAAGCAGGAATGCCCACAGAATCAGCTGTCAGAAGCGCAGCCTTCACATGCCACTTGCCCCTTAAGTCAACTCGAGTATAGAGGAGGGGAATGGCAAAAATTCACAACTTGGAAACTCTAGGCAGAGAATGCAAGAAATTAACTGCAGTTTTAAGGAGGCTTTCAATATAGCCCTAGGAACCACTCCATCGCCTCCTGCTCAGAGCATGCAAATGGCCAGAATTTTCTAAAACTTGATGTCTGAATAGTGACACTGACAGGGTCATCTGCTTTATTCCAAGATAGCCTTTGTCTCAGAAAAGGCCTCATATTTCTAAGCTGTTTCCAGGGCTGCTCCTAACTTAGGAAGATACCGTTTAACACAAAAATATGAATCACTGAGTGCTAAACAGGATGCAGACTCTTGACCAAAAAGCATGAAATCAATCATTTCACTTTGGGATACACTTTTGGCACGAAGGCTGCCTTGGAAAACAAAGTCACTTCGAATCTGCCTAGGGAAGCCAGACCAGTGAGTGTTCCCAAACACAGGACTCTAAGCATGTTTGCAATGGACAAAGCAGGCACGGAGCGAGGCGGCCAACGTACTGTTCTCGCGGACCAGGCAGAACTCCCAGGCGCTCTGGCTCTCCAAAGTGCTCTCCAGGTCCACGGCGACATTGGGCTCGCTCTGCTTCTCCAGGCGGTACTGAGGGCCTGGAAGATCAGAGGGGCGGGAGGAGGGGAGCAAGTCTGAAATAGTGAATTTAACACGGAACAAACACCACATACTGGCGAAAAGCTGAGAAAGCATTAGGAAAATGCTGGACTCTGTCTTGAGGGTTTAGCTATCCAAGATGGAAGAGTTTGGGGTTTTCTTCCACAAGGTTTCACACACTTGTCTTTTCTATTATCAGGTCAATTTTCACTCAGTTCTTCCCAAAACAAGGTGAGAGGTAGATGGCTTTTGAGTCAGACTGACCTGGAGTCACAACCTGGCTACATGGTTTCTCAGACGTGAGCAGGTGACCTACCTTCTCTGAACTTGTTTCCTAATACGTAACGCGGGAATACTTATACCTTGAAGGATTATTGTGAAGATTAGAGATGATATAGGAAAAATACTTATTTTGGAATGTACCTGTCTCCTAGGAGGCACTCCTACAAAAGTACTTCTTATTAATAATCACTATATAGTAATGAATAATCAGTTATAAGTGGGAATAAGGTGTGTTTAGAACTCAAATATGATGACAGCCCAAAAAGCTAAAAACATTTTTTAAAAAGCAAATGGCGTTAAAACAATAAATCTCAGGTTTCTGGGTTAGAGTGATAGAAGGACAGTGGCTGCTGATTCATGTTTTTTTTGAAAGATTTATGAAAACACAGGAGACACTGGTTCAATAATACCAAAAATCAGAAATATTAGCTACCCTGCATCACACGGGGGTTCTGGAAGATCTTAATAAAACACTGGGGCATTTTACACATTTATTCATGTATTTCTTTGTCAAGCCAAATGACAATCCTGTTCTCAGATAACATCTAATGGGTCCAATGACCAGATTCAAAAGACTGCTCCTGTTGTTAACGGTTATTGAAAAGATTAAGAGCTGCAAGAAACCGTCTTATTATTTTGACTATGAAAGGCGTGTTTGGTCCGACAGAGGAGATGTGTAAGAGATCTAAGGAAAGCGTCAGAGGCCTTTCAGGGTGCCCAGGTGGAACAGGTATTGTTAGATACGTTCCTCAGCTGTTGTCAATTGTTGATTATTCATAGCCTTCGCTTTCTCAGTCTGAGGTATTTCAGTCATCTCAAGTCATTCTCCCCCACCATGTTCCATGTTCACCTGTAGCATTGAAGAGTTTCACGGTATGTTTGATCTTTTCTCTAATTGGTATTTCATTGGTATTTCTGCCAGTATTCAAAGTTCTTACATGCATTCAGTCCTTTCAACATTACTTACAGCTTTTAAACCTTCACTAAGTAAACAACGCTCAAAACACACAACTCTTTAAGCAAATACATGCTCAGAGGTCTACATAATTCTTATAAAAACTCAAATACATTGTGTTCAGGTCAAGAAGGTATTGTATTTCACCGTTATACTTAGTTCAATTTTAATTTAAAAAATATTAAGCAAATAAAGGTATGGAAACATAGGTAATTCTTAGTCTCCACTACTTGTCACCTGTCAGTCCCAACATTTGTCAATTACCAGGCATCTGCTGCTGGTCACTGGATGCTTTCACATTCACGGGTGGAAGTAACCACAGAAAAATCAAGCTCAGCCAAACCTTAAGAAAACTTAGCTGGTGAGTGATTCCCATGCACCCTCTGCTTTCCTCCCTCCCTACTAACACACACCTCTTCAGCCCATTCGAGAGAAAGGAGTCACCCCTGAACCTGGAGAGCTGCTTTCTAACACACCAGCCTGTTCAACAATCTCCCACGGCCCCACCCCCAGCATCTCTCAGCAACACAGTGCACAGGCACTGACATCCACTTCTACGAATTTACAGTGGAATCTGGGTACACAGTTTAGCTATCATAATTCATTTTTTTATGCTAGCCAAAATTTAGGAACAATCTAGATCTAACAACGGGGGAACTGGTTAAACAAAATATTGTGAAATATCATGAGGATACTAAAAGTGATGTTGCAAAAATATTTAATTTCATAAAACATGTTTATGCTATTTTATGAAAACACAAAATTATAACAACATGTGCAAGGTGATTATAATTAGGAAAAATATATGTAAAGTCATAGGGGAAAAAAGACTGGAAGGTTATTTCTAAAATGTGAATAATGGTTGTACTGGATAGTGGGATAATGAGTGTTTTTATTTTTCCTTAGTGTTTTTCTTTATTTTTCCAATTTCCTATAATAAATAAAGCCTACTTCTATAATTTAAAGAACATCATATATACTTAAAAGTCCTCCAATTTCTTACTATGCCATTTTTCTGATGCTACTGTAATTACCACACACTATGGCATCTCCAATGGGTCTTTCATATGCAATAATTTAAAAACCAGACATTATCTGCTTATGTAGATCAATATTTTCATCTTCAGTAACCCTGCACCCTGGCGTGCTTTTACTCTGACTCTGAGTGCAGCGTACGGGGTTTTGGGCTTCTCAAGCTGTCTCCTACCCGACAGCGGGATTCTGAGGAAGCCACCCCTCCCTGATCACTAGCAGTCAGGGCCTGGCCGCATCAGGGTGTATTTCAGGCTGGACTCCTTTGCACGTTTTCCCCTTTGGTCTCTGTAGCTGACTGGGAAACCAGGGGAGGCAGGGAGTACTAAGAAGGGTCCCTTCTCCCTAACAGAAGTCCCTGCACCACTCTCAAAGACACAACTGCCATCATTCAACATTTACTTTCTTGGGTCTTGGGTCTTGCAGATTACTTCTTTGAAAATAGTTTCTTTCATCAAAGCAGCTTTAGGACTTTCTCTTTGAAGCCTAGTATGCAGATGACTCTCATTTACCACACGACCATTAAATGCCAAGCACACTACGTACATTACCTTACTGAATCCTCACAGCAACTCTGAGAGGCAGATATTATTATTCCCATTTGACAGACTGGGACCCTGAAGGTTGGCAGGGCGAAGCAACTTGCCCAAAATCACAAAAATAGGAAGTAGGAAGGGGGAAATGAAACCCAAGGGTCTTCAGCTCAAAAGTCTGTGTGTTTTAAACCTTTCTTCCTCTTGCAAACTATAAATTACTGGCCAATTATAAAGGGGCCATAGTTTATACCATAAGTATAGATTTTTGTAGATTTGTGGATTCATTTGGGTTCTGAATTACTTAACTTACAGGTTCTATAAATTCAAAACGAAAACGATCTGAAATAATTTATTTTAATGAAATCTACACATACTAAATATCCTATGCTATGGCTGTGTCCTGGGTCTTTACGAAGACAGGATCACCTTATCTTTTCATCCATGCAGAAAGACTCTCTCCCCATCTTTCCTTAAGAATATTTCTATGTATGCCCAGTTTTGTCAGTAACTGAAATTCTGAGCATCATCTTCTGCCCTGGGTACTCCCTACTCTTCCATAAAAGCTAAAGAACAACTTGGAAACCCACTTCTGAACTTAGCAAAGGGCTTCCTCGGGGAAGGTAGGGTGGTTAAGCTGTAGATGAGACTGGAGATCTAAATCCAAATGGAAAACTGCCTCTTACAAATCTCAGTTCTCGTGTGATAAGATATCTCACAGAGAAAGACTGTTTGACATGTCTTCCTCTGAAAAAGTCAGACTGATAACTTTAGGTCATACTGTGTAATGAGAGGCAGGCTATATATGAGAAGCAGTATAGTCTGGTGATAGAGGGCATGGATTTGGGGCCAGAATGCCTTGGTCAAGTCCTGGCTGAGTATCTTAGTTGTATGACTTCGGGCCAACTTAACCTCTCTCAGTTTCTTCATCTATGAAATGGGGATCATAACAGCACCTACTTTATAGGCCTGTCTAAGAATCCAGTAAGTTAGCAGTTGTAAGGCAGTGAGAACAGTGGCTGATACATGAATAGCATTAAGTGTCAGCTATCATCCTCCTCTGCCACATCACTGGACTGTAATAAGAGATCATAACAGAACAAAACAGGGCCTACCATGTGCCAAGTACTGTGCGAGGCTTTTTGTAGAGATCATCTCATTTACTCTTCACCACCCTAGGATGTAAAGAGTATGAATTCCACTTCACAGAAGAGGAAACTGTGACTCACAGAGGCTAATAACTTGCTCAGTGTCCCACGGGAAGCAGTGGAACTAGGATTCATAGCCAGGGCTGCCTAGGCCTACACTCTCTCTACTACATATGAACCACAGAGCCTCACTCATAACAAGTTCTTAATAAATGTCTGTTGATGATAATCAAGATTATGACAACCCAGACCTACTATATATCAAACTATAGTTTCTATCAAATGCTTGTTTAATTTTTAGGCAGCTGACATGGGGAGTAAGAAAAAATAGCAGCCAAAGGCCATTTTAAAAAAGACAAGCTGTGAGGTCATTTTCTATTAATATACTTTTACCAAAGAAATGATTATATAAAATATTACAGGCTCTTTTACACTGAACAGGACATAGTTCTCAAGGCAACATCCACCCTTTGGAAAGAGGTTTTAAAATGTCACAGCTGCGCATGAAGCCACATGCCCTCTACTTTACAGCAGAGGGGAACACAAAAGGAATATTCTGGGAAGCAGTTACTCTGCCACGACAAGAAAACCTGCTTGGGCATTCCAATGATGTATTTATTGTAGTAATACCATGTCACCGAAAGGTCTAGGAACAAAATACTGTTCTGGGCACTTTGGTAGGGTTCTAAGTTATAATACCCAGGCAGGACTTTTAAAGGATTTTGTAAACCTGAGGCAAACATCTCAGCACGTAAGTTTCAAACAAAATCTGTAGTCTCTTTTGGGTGGTGGATACATACAAGCTCAGTCCAGCTTCCTCGATCCCTTTAATCCTTGACTGAAATGTAAAAGGATTTAACAATTCCTTAACAGCTGAGAGCTGAAATCCAGTGGGAAGCAAGGGCAGAAGCCTGAAGAGAGAGAAGCCATACCATTGCCTCAATCACTCAGCGTCTTATCTAAACCCCAAGGGAGAAACTTCCTGCAGACCTCCATATAGAGAAAATCTGCACTTCCTCGGAGCAACCTGCTTGCTTTTTTGTGTCTTT